GATGAGACTCGTCTTCAACACATCATCAACAAATTGTGCAAAGCAGTGACAGAACCACTGGCTCCATTCCTTTCTGATTGGCTGATCTGATTAGGACAAGTGGATAATCAATGGCTTTAACTTTAAGTTGAACTCCAGCTTTTACCTCATTTATTGAATAATTCCATTGATCAGAACTGGATGGGTTCCAAGTTTTCTGTTTGAACATTTATTTTCATCTCTTTTAGTCTCTTCACCAGCAGCAAAGCTTGTCTGTTACCAGTTGCAGATACTTCTGTGGGTCACTGAGTTATTTCTACAGCAGGACTATTTTCAGTCTGACGTCTTCCTTTTTCTGCTTCCAAAAGGTTAACTTCAGTTTAATGCGTGTGAACTGCTTCGTCTTTTCTGAACAGATCAATTAGTTTCACCATCAATGTAGAACAACCTGTCTGATAAATCAGGGTTTCTTCCAGTGATCCCCCACTAAAACCTTCCAGGAAGTAAAAGTCATGCAGTGCAGAGTTCTTACTTTACTACCAACATTTGATTTGAAGCAAAAGTCACAACATTTATCTGTTGAGGCATGCTGCAATAAATAATAAATCATCCCCAACTTTTCAAAATTTTGTAAGTGGCCAAGGACCCCACATGGGCCTACTTCACTCCATGGAGGTCCACGCAGACTCGAGGTGGACTTGAAGTGGACGTCCGCCAGACAGGTCCACTTGGAGATATTTTTTTTTTACAAATGTGTATTTGGTAAAGTCCCCGGGGAGAAAACAAGGGAAACGGTGTTCACGTTGAACTGTTGTGTAGCGACACCAAGCAGAATCTGTGTGTGCCTGTTGATGTACATTTGCTGTTTTTAAGATGCTTAAGAATTTAAACAGCCAGCCAACAGTTGTTACACTTTATTAATTTATGATTTATAGTCTGCCATCAATATTTAAAATCAAACTACGGTATGTGCACATGATATTTACCGCTTCAATCGTTCCAGTGGTTCAGCTTCAGCAGAGTTGTTGTGTTATTTTTCCCCAAATCTCTGGTCCAGATCAGTCTGAAACTGTGTTTTACCACGCACATTATACACTGCTGTAAACTTTGTAAGAGGCAGGTTAACATTATATTAGTTTAAAATGGTCTCAAAACAATATTATCATTTATAATTACTGTGACAGGCCTTTTGAAGACTCTTTTAGAAAGGGCAAATGCAAAGTGAGTTTGCAAGAACCAGATTTTAAAAATGCATCGACTTCAGAATCTGTGCATGGTTCATTCTTTGTTTTGAAATTTTCCKTTTTCAAAACCTAAATATAAAAATGTAAAAATCAAACTAGTAAAAAATCCACAGTGTTCAATTTTTGCTTCCCTTAGGTCAATCCAAAATCAATTGTTTTAATATGTAGCAATGCTGGAAGTGATGGAAGTTGTCACAGAACAAGAGTTTATAGTTTCTGGAAGAAGACTGTTTAAAACATAAACTATTCCTAAATTTATTGGCAATGGCTGCTCTCCAACCTTATTTTGCATAACTTGTAACATTAAAACAGTTTTATTTTTAAAATTGGCTCCTTCTAAATAAGACTTTTGTCTGTTTCTAAAGTGCTCAGTGAGAACGTATCGCCCAGGAGGTCAGGCCATGAGGATTCCCAGTTCCGCCAGAAAGTGTACAAATGGTAAAGCTTTGCTGTAACC